TCAGTGATATAGACCTTGATTTATTGCAGGATTGCTACTAGCATATCAGGCCTCTGTGCTAGATATGGACAGATGACAGATACACCAGATATGTTCACTATATGATTCTTTAATCCACTGCCAGATTTTGGAATGGCTACAATGTGAATTTAGCATATAATTTTAGGGTGCATTTGTAATGAATCTGTAACAAGTCTGTATGAGGTTTCAGTATAGAATTAGCGAGCGTTTTTTTTTATTTTGAGTTTGTAATCTATTTTGCTCTGCCTGTTTTCACTTATTACCACTTAAATCCTACTGCTTGTAGTTAAAGGCCAGTAGTGAAGACCTAGTCAAAGACATGAAATAAGGTAAAAAGCAAGAGAACTAGATGCAAGTAGGGTTGCCAGGTGACCAGTTTTCACCCGGATAGTCCATTATTTCTGGTCCCTGTCCAGTAAAAAAAAAACCACAGAAAATACTAGTATTTTCTGTTTTTCTTGGCTGGAAGGCGGGCAGGGACATTCTTCCCCTGCCACGTCTGATGGGGCCAGAGGTAGCAAGGAATGCAGGGATTCTTAAAGGTGCAGCAACCTTTTTTTTCTGTTCTCCCTTTTTTTTTTTTTTGCTCAATAATTTTTGTCTCCTGTGGTTCCCCTCCCTCTCCCCCAACAAGTGTGATCCTATTTTTGCTCAACAAGTTTGGTCTCCCCCCCACCCTCTTTTTTGTTGTTGTTTTTTTTTTTTGTTTTTTTTGCTCAATCAAGTTTTTTTCCTGCCATTATTGAGCTTTTTGATGAAAACATCTGGCAAGCCTAGATGCAAGGTTTCTTTGTTCAGAGAGAACCCTACCGGGCAGACAGGCCAAGAAAAGGCTGAATAAAGCATCGTATGCAAAGATTTTGAAAACTAAATGTGATGGGGTAAGGTCACAGATGACCCTTTGGGGGTGATTTCCGGGGTGGTGTTGACAAAGCCACTGCCAGTCGCCTTTCTGCTCTTTGGGGCTTTTCACCGCCCGCTCCTGCTGGGCCAGCTCCCTGGTCTCCTACAGCCAAGGCACGAAGCTGGTATTTTCTGTTTTATCTATTTCTTTCCTTGTGATTCCCAATATTCTGTTAGTTTTTTAGACTGCACATTGAGCAAATGTTTTCAGGGAACTATCCACAGTGATTCCAAGATCTCTTTCTTGAGTGGTAATAGCTAATTTAGACTCCATCATTTTTGTATGTATAGCTGGGATTATATTTTTCCATGCACATTACTTTTCATTTATCAACACTGAATTCCATTTACCCTTGCATTATCCAATCAACCAGTTTTGTGAGATCCTTTTGTAACTCCCTGCAGAAAGCTTTGGATTTAACTACTTTGAGTAATTTTGTAGTGTCTGCAAATTTTATCATCTCCCTATTTACCCCAGTGACGGGGCAGAGGCGCCCCGCACTCTGATCCCCCTGGAAGTTGCCTTTGCGGCGACCCAGGGGGCGGAGCGAGAGGCCCCAGCACCACGAGCAGTGGAGGGCAGGCAGGAGCCGGAGGCGTCGGGGACAAACAGGGCGGCCCCAGCGTGGGGCGAGCAGCGATGTGCCAGGTGCTCCCGGGCCGCAGAGGTGGCAACGCGTCTGCGCCCGCCGAGACTGCGCCTGACGTCACGCGGGGGGCGGCACCAGATGGCAGGTGCGCCGCTCCGCCGGAAGTAGAGCTGCGTACAGGGGGCGGAGCCCCCACCCCCCGCCCACAAGCGGGGCGAGGATTTAAAAGGCCGGACATGACTGCCTGAGGAAGAGGTGGACCCAAACTGCGGAGGTAAGCCCCCGCATCGGCGAGACAGCGCAACAGGGAGAGGAAGCAGCCCAGGGCAGGCGAAGGGAGCCTGAGGGCTGGCGCGTTACGGCAGACGCCCCGCCAGCTGGACCGGACCGGACGCCGTAAGCGTACCGAGTCCTTAGGGCCCTGGGCTGGGGTCCGTGAGAGGGGGCGGGCCCGGACCCCCCTCTCCCTGCTACGGGAAGCTCGGAGACCCCTGGTGTTAAAGGGCCCCCCTGGTCCAAGAGGTCAGTTGACTGAGGACGCCAGACGGTGAACCTCTGGGGAAAAGGAGCACAAGACTCGGGAGGAGGGTACGGGGTGCCTGTGGGTGCCCCGATAGACTCGTTTACAACTCCTTTTTCAAGAACATTTATAAATTTAACAGTATTGGGCTAAATTCAAATCCCAGCAGCACAACACACATTCCTACTCTTCCTCCTCCCCCCTTCATCTTTTAACTACCTGGCAATGTTTTCATAATGATGTGACAATCTTTCAATTGCTTGATTGACCAGTTGTGATGGACACCCGCCCTATGCTTTATGAGATAGATTTATGGACAAAAATATACATAACTCAAAGATGCTTGGGACAAATTATCTCATGTAACCTGTCAATCTTCATGTCTTAATCTGCGGGGTCTATATATCTCATTTTGGTGTAGGTATCGTTCTTGAGTGTAAAGTTAGATATATGAAGTATGGAATGGTTTATGTATTTAAATGTGCAAAGGAAAGCCCTCAAGGGTGTCCCAATACAGGGGTGCCTCAATGTCTAGGCAATCACCTGTAAACAACCCTTTTTGTCCTTTAAGTCTTCGCAGTGGTTGGTCCTAGGAAGTCATGTGACATCCCTAACTAGTAGGAACTGGCCAGGTAACTTCCCATGTAAAAGTGAAATCTATAAAACAATGGGAAGCTTAGCAGTTCCTTTCTTTTCTTTTTTGGTCTGGCGTACCAGTCCCAAGGAAGTGAACCAGAAACCCCAAGGAAAGGAGACTTCCCTGGTTTTGAACACTTGGCTAGGAAAAGAACAGTTTTAGGGTGAGTTTGTAATAAATGTGTACTGAAGTTTTAATGTTAGAATTAGCTAAGCATTTTCTGATATTTTAAATTTTAATTTTACTTTGCTCTGCCTGTTCTCACTTACAACCACTAAATCCTACTGCTTATACGTAATAAAATCACTTTTATTTACTATCAAGCCCAGTGTAAATAATTGTTACCTGGGGGAGCAATCAGTGTGCACATTCCCCCTTTCATTGTGAAGAGGGCTTACCTAAATACTTCATTTGGGGTTCTGATCCCATTTGGGGAGGGGTATCCCAGGAAGCTAGGCCCAAAACTGCATTTTCATTAGACCTGAAGAGTTTCAGTCTCTGTACTGCGCCTTGGGGTAGGTGGTGGGGGGGAGTGATCTCTGTGCCTTGGCTGGGGCAGACCAGGGAGCTGGCCCAGCAGGACAGGATGGTCAGAAATCCCAGAGAGCAGGAAGGCAAGTATCAGTGGCTTTGTCAGCACCCTGGGAAGGACCCCCAAAGAGTCTTCTGTGGCTGCCCCCATCACACTAGCCTTTTGTTATTCTTAATCACCTGCCTCCTTCTTTTTATAATAAACTCTCTGCCCCAAAGGCAAAGCTGCAAGCAGCTCAAACTCTGCAGTTAAGAACTGCGTCTGGAGCTAGAGCATGCAGCTTGTCGTAGACCTCAAGTATGAAATCCAGGGGTTCAAACTTCTGGGGGGCTACTGTCTCTTTAATGGTTCCCTTGACCCCACCTGCATCTGCTTCATGCTTGGACCAGAGGAGAGGTACCTCCCCCTAGCCGTGATATGCAACCTGGAGCTGCCCTAGACCTGTTGTTGCCAAGGGGACATGTGGTGCTTCTGTGGCTCCCACCCAGCCTAACGGGGCCAGAGGGCGGGCATGCACCCCTCCCCTGGCTGTGCCCACTGGAGCTGCAGCAGCCATGGAGAGACGCTTCTCACCTGGCCCCACACTGATGTGGTGAGACAGGGCTGGGGTTGTCCTCTCTTACCAAGGCAACCTGCATACTGAACCCCTCAGTTCCAGCCCTACCCACAGCTATGATTTAAATGAAGCATGTGCCTTTTCATTTTATTAATAACCCTCGCCCCCCACCCCTCCCGCCCCCATATGAATTGAGTTAAGGACCCAAGCAACCTCGGATAAATCTTCTAGTATCATTTAAATCCCAGGAACATGCCTTTCAGGTCCAGGAGAAACCACTTGTTACACTGCTGCACATGGTGGGCAGTTGGCACTTCCTGGAAGCAGCAGGGATGGAATGTACAGGCCTTGACCTAAGGTCCCTGTAACTTGCATGGCAGTGGGGCTACACAGCAGCCTATGGAGAGTCACACAAGCACTCAGGGAAACCAGCCCTCCTAGACATGCTGACTAAGAGACAGACCATCTCCCCATCCCTAACCAAGCCCAGCCTGGACCTGCCATGTTTGGGGGACAGGTGCCTATCTTGTGGCTCCAGCCCCAGAACTGCCATGAGAAGAGAAGTTCCTCTCTGTCCCCAACCCAGGGGCTGCTGTAGCGGGAGAGGATGCTCTGGGGAGTCCTCTCTTCCGCTATAGGACCAGGGCAACCTGCACCCCAAGCTCCTCTTTCATGGTCCCACCTCAGAAACTGCACTTCCTGCCAGAGCCTTCATAGCCATGATCCCAAGACTCTGCTTCAGCCCTGAGCCCCCTCATATACTCCAAACCTCTCAGCCTCACCTCTAGCACATACATTTTATTATATGCACCAATATGGAGGTGAAATGATGGGTCACACATAACCTTCATATTGGTGCAGATAACAAATTTCATTCCACACATGTGGGAAAAATTTGAGGGAATGCCTACCTTGACCACTTGAGCCATGTTAGCAGCACCAGGCTCCTGGCACAAGCTGAGTATTTCTGTTTCCATCCCGCCCGGGCAGAGCACATCTACTCTCCCCCAGTCCTTGTGACAAGCGAGGAACAACCCCGCACTCGGGGAGCTGCTCTGGAAATGACGCAGGCTACCAGACACAATGGTGAGGAGCAGATATTTCCCCCGACTGCGCTGCAGGGCAGAGCCCTCGCTGGACGGACACGTGTGGGTTGGTCTGAGAGGTCCTGTGTGTAAGGCTGTGATCTGGGGCTGAACAGGGATGAGGGGAGTGGGGACAGACAGGCCAGGAGCCATGGGTCAGGTTGATAAATTCATTTATTTGTGAGGCTCGTTTCCCTTTCCTGGCTGCTGTTTCCTCTCTGTCGACCCATCCAACCACCTCAGCCTGCGCAGGGCACAAGCCGGGGGGATGCCGGAGGCTCGGAACACGGCTCCATCCCTCACACGTTGCTCTGCTCGACTCCCGCTGTGAGGGAAAAGGAGAGGGAGTGGATGGGGGAGAGGGGCTAGAGAGGAGAATTGCTGCTCCTCCCCCAGGCTGGGCACAGTGCCAGCACCACACCCAGTGCCGGGAACGGAGCCCGGTGCTGCCAGAGCTGCAGGCCAGAGATCCCATGGCCCTGACCTCTCCCCTCAGGAGGCTCCCTCACGGAGTGTTCCCACCTGGGGAGAGGCAGCACAGGATCCAGCGCGGGCTGTGTGAGCCTAGGGGGTAGCGGGAACCACTCCCTGCTGTGCCCGACTCTGCAGAGCGGCCACGTGGCTGGGAGACGCCCAGCTGGGAGGGACGTGGGGCCCTTGGATGCTGGGTGCCATAGACATGCTGAGGCTCAGCTCCGACCCTTGCTTTGGGAGCGAAGTGCTGGCTCGTCTCGCCCCTTTGTTCCAGTGGGACCCAGCGCGGGATGGATCGAACCACCTTATCCAAGAACCAGCAGTGCCCAGGGGAGTGAAGGGGGCTCCCAGCATTGGGACTGAGCAGTTGCCTTTGCGTCAGCACCAGGGGAACAGAGCCCAGAGCAAGCGCTGCATGCTGAGAGCCTTCCCTGGGCCCTCAGACCTGCAGAACAAGGGCTGGGAAAGGCTCAGACCAGGGGTGGGGAACCGAAGGCCCAGGGGACAGAAGTAGCTCTCGGCTTGCCTGGATCTGGCCCCTGAGACTCAGGGCTCCCCCCACCATTGGGGAGCTCATGCTGGTGGGGGGGAGGGGTTGTTTCTTACCTGTGTGCAGCCCCTGACTGATTTTTCTGTGGGTCAATGGTCCCCGACCCAAAAATGGTTCCCCAGCCCAGCTTAGGCCTTGGGGAGCCCCTGCTGAGTCCTGCTGGGGGGGACCCTCCCGACCCTCCCCTCTCGCTCTCCCACCCTTTGGTTCTTCCATTTGCTCCCTGACTCTCCCTTTCCTGCGCCTCTGGTCTGTGCCAGCAGCAGGCAGCTCAGCCCCAGCTGCTGGGGAAGGGGGAAGGATCGAAGCTTTTAGGGCAGGCTGTGGCCTCAGGTTCCTATTCGATCCGACCAGGCAGCCTGTCCCTGAAAACGCCACAAAGCAGCAGCCCCGTGCGATGGCAGGGACCTGCCAGCTCTGCCTGGGCTGGAGCCCTCGCCCGGCCTGGGAAGAGCCTCTCTCAAAGCACCGCAATGACGCGGCTCCAGGGCAGCTCCAGTGGGGAAGAAGGCAGGTGTGTCAAGCGGGGGCTGAGGGGGAAGCTGCCGGCTCCGGCTGCACGGGGCCGCGCTGCCTGGCGATGAGCAGCACAAGGGAGGAAACAGCGCTTCATGCGCTACCTTTGCTGCAGGGGGCGCCGTACTCCGCGATGGCAAATTCATCTGGAAGACACAAGGAACGGGAGATGTGGTCAGGGCTGAGACCCAGCCAGGGCTCCTCGCTCGCCCCCAGCCCTGCGGCAGAGAGCTGGCACCGCACCGGAGATCTCAGGGGAGGGGCCCTGTCTCCGAGGCACTGGGCGAGCCTCAGCTGGGCTCCGTGGGAGGAAGGCTGCAGCGCAGCAGCATCTCCAGCAGGTCTGTGCCAGGTGTCCCCTGGCCCTTCGCACAGCTTGTCTGACGCACGCCAGCAGGGCTGCCAGCAGGCTCTGGTTTGTCACCTGCTTTCCTACCTGGGGAGGCTGAGGAGCAAGTGTGCCTGCCTCAGGTCACACGCAGAGCTGGGAGCCCAGGGCAGGATCTGAACCCGGGATCCTCCCAGTTCCCTTTGGCTCTCATGTACCTGGGCTGGCACCTTCTCTGTGCTGTGCGGGAGGGCTCTGGGACCTCGCCCACTGCCAGGGTGCGAGCATGAGGCCAGAGGAGGATGCGCCCTTGCCCATAATCCCTGTGCGCCCCACATGCTCACTGGGGAGAGGGGAGACACTGCTGAGATGGGCCTGTTGTTTCTAGAGCTGAGAGCGGGTTGCTGTCTCCATGGGCCAAGCCAGTGTCAGGGATGGGGGTGGCAGGGCCCTTCGGGTTGGAAGCAGGAGGAAAAGGGAATTGGTTTTGCCCTGGAGCCTGCCTGGGCAGTCACTGAGCAGAAAGCCCTCCCCTGAGGTTCTCAGGCCTGTCCCTGCGCTCTGCAGGCAGCACCGGGGAGTGGGGGGAGATATGTTGATGACTGAGATAACAAGACCAAACACAACCCTGAGCACAGAGCGTCCCCCTGTGGCATCTCCCCTGCCTGTGACAGGCCCATGGGGCTGACGTCCCCCCAGCCCTGCCCCCACACACCCGTCTCGTAGTAATCGTAGACTTTCACCAGCGCCGGCTTCAGACTCTGCACAGGGAAGTCCTGCTCCACTGCGAAGGAGAAGCTCTGAGTCACGTTGCTCACCTGAGGTGGGGAGAAACAGACGAGGTTCAGTAGGAGGCTAAGAGCCACCTCACTGACTCCTTCGGGCTTTAGTCCGAACTAACGCGTCCCGGCGTGCACTTCCTGGTTCGAATCAGCTGTGATTCGAACTAGCGCGCCGGCGAGATCATGTTAATGGAGCGCGGGATATTTAAATCCCCGCTTCATTAACTACTTTGGTTGTCTCCATTTGCATCCCTAGTTCAAACTAGGGATGCAGTGTAGACGTACCCCTACAGACTAAACAGACTGGCCAAATCCCACAGCTTCTGCTTGTAGGTCATGTGCTCCAGCCCCCTAATCATTTTGTTTGTCCTCTGCTGTACCCTCTCTAATGTGTCCACATCCTTTCTACAGTGGGGCACCCAGAACTGGTCACAATACTCCAGATGTGGCCTCCCCAGAGCCGAATAAAGGGGAATAATCACTTCTCTAGATCTGCTGACAATGCTCCTCCTAATGCACCCTAATATGCCATTAGCCTTCTTGTTGAGGGGTCGCAGGAAGTGCTGAAGGGTAATGCTGGGGAGGGGCAGCAGCTGAGGGGGGTACATGTGTTTGTCTTTCCATCCTGACTCTAGCCTGGCAGATTACCTCTCAGAGCCTCTATGTTGGGGTGACTCTCCTTGGCCCATCCCAGCCCCTTGTGGCCACTCACCTGCTCCATGTACAGCAGCACATGATTGGTGCTCAGTTCTGTGCGCTGGATGTGGTGATCTCCTTCCAGCTGCCCATGACCAAGGGAGAGAAGCAGTATGTCATTAATCCCTCCTTTCACAACATCTCAGTGTGCTGAGGAATGGGATGCTGATGCATTAAAGGTAAAGGTGGAGTCTGTAGTGTGGCCCTACCCACCTAGTGGCCTGAGATGTGAAGGGCCCCAGACTGAGAGCATCCACATTCCAAAAGTTGAGCCAGGGAACATGACCCTGCCACTACCTACCACGCTGTCCCTCATGTCACACCCTGGCTGTGGCTGACCAGCAGCAGCAAGAAAACTGTTACCATGGCAGAAAGCCAGAGTGGATTGAGAGGCAGCTTAGCAGACAGAGAGGACATAGGGAGCCCCAGCCAGCAACAACCTTGCCTGCCTCATTAGCATGGAGTCACTCATGTCCATGGCAGCATCCTCCCACAGTGACTGGGCACAGCAGGTGGTGTTAGGGTATCCAGCTGTATGGCTGGACCCAGGGCCAGCGTCTCGGCCAGGCAGTCCATTGCCACAGGTGGGTGCAGAGCTCTTTTCATGAGTCAGTCCTCAAGTGGGCTACTTGCCACTATGGATCATTTGGTTTGGCAAAGAGTGTGTGTGCAGGGAGGCTATGGGGGGAAGGTGGGAGCAATACACCTTCAGTGCTGACGACTGGATGTTTGTGGCTTGTTTTGAGACCCATTTAGGCATGTGGTTTTGAAATATCTGGCAACACTAAGTCACACTGAGGGGTTGGGTCTCTAAAAAGTGAGGAATCAGCTCAGTGTCCTACTTCTCGCCTGAGGGGAAGGCTGGGGCTGTGGGCAGGGCTGGTCTTAGAACATAAGAACATAAGAACGGCCATGCAGGGTCAGACCAAAGGTCCATCTAAACCAGGATACTGTCTTCTGAAAGTAGCCAATGCCAGATGCCCCAGGGGGAGTGAGCAGAACAGGGAATCATCAAGTAATCACTCTTCTGTCATCCATTTCCAGTCTCTGACAAAAGCTAGGAACACCATTCCTACCCATCCTGGCTAACTGATGGACCTCACCTCCATGAATTTATCTAGTTGTTTCTTGAACCCTGTTCATGTCCTGGTCTTCACAACCTCCTCTGGCAAGGAGTTCTACAGGCTGACCATGTGATGTGTGAAGAAAAACTTCCTTTTTTATTTTAAACCTCCTGCCTATTAATTTCTTTGGTGACCCCTTCTTGGTCTCTAGGCACTGCCACCTCTGTGTTTCTCCTTCTTTAATCTGCTGGGATCCCACTCAGGGCCCTTTAAGGGGCACCTAGCTTCAACTGTCTGCATCTCCCTGAGGAGATGCAGGACCTGAGGTGGGCTTGGAAGTTGCAGCAGTGTGTGTGGGGGGTTATATCTAGAGGAGGAGAGAGGGGTGCAGGGGGGTGGGGGATCCTCACTCTCTCTCCCCAGCAACCCGAGAACTCAGCCTGACTTCCCCTTACAGGAGGACTGCCCCCTGCAGGGGAGAATGTGAGGTGCGTCCAGCCAGGCTCGCCCGCTCTGTGCATAACAGTTGACCAGGAGATCACTGAGGGGGAGCTCATGGGGATGGGATGGGGCAGGGGAGGAGTGAGGCATCAGGGGAGGCTCAGAAAGAAGAGAGGGGATGAGAGAGATGGGATACAGGAAGGAGGGTGATGCTGAAGAAGGGACTAAGGAAAGGCCAGGCTGCACCAGTAAAATGAGGGGTCAAGATTTGGAGATAACTGTGGACCAGGTACCATTTGGATGAGATTGGAGGCAAGGGGCTCTGGATGTCCACTGAGCATGGTTGGGGTTGTGGGCAGCTGAACTCCAGTAGGCAGATACCCCTGAGGTGCAGGGGCCCATACGCAGAATGGGTCGTTACCTCCCTCACTGAAGGCTTCACAGGGATGAATCCTGACAGCATCTTAACGTCGACGATGACCATGTTGGAGATGGGACGTTTCCCTGTGTAGCTGGGAGACCAAGCAGAAAACAAAACAAGGTTTAATACAGCTCAGCACAGAACTGAGGCACCTCAACCCTGACCTGCAGCACCTCCCATCTTCACTAGCACCCTATCCTACCACTACCTTTCATTGCTGCCTTGTAGCCCCCTGCTATTCCAGCCCTGGGCTCCCCACACTGCCCTGCCAGTGCCCCTCAGTCCTGCTCTGAACCCCCTGCTATTCCAGCCCTGGGCTCCCCTCACAGCCCTGCCAGTGCCCCTCAGTCCTGCCCTGTTATAATGACATGAACAGAGGCCAAGGTGAGGAACCTGGAGAATATGCAGAAGTGTTTGCAGTATCGGGCTAAAATTATATTTTATTAAAAACGTATATTTTATTGGGATAAATTTTCTGTCACCTCAGAATCAAAGTGGATTATTGATAATACTAAGGAGTTATTTCAATACACTAGCACTGCTATTGTGAGGTTTTTTATAAACACACTTTCAAAAAAGTAGGAGCTTAAAGTTAGGCTCCTAAGCCCATATTTTGGCATCCAAGGAAGGGTTTTATGAAAGCACCAATGTGATTTAGGAGCACAAGTCTGATTGAACCTAGACTGCAAATTCTGGCTGGGCCAAAGCATTCAGCTTCTGTCACCACATCTACCGACCGGGGTGAGGGGGGAGTACAAAGAGGACAACTGCCCCAGGGCCCAGCCATTCAAAGGGGCCTGGAGCTACTGGCCACCATCGCTGGCCCAGTAGCAGCAATGGCAGCTGGAGGCCTAGGTCCCTTTGAACTGCCCTGGGAGGCTATACCATCACTCTGCTGGGCTCTGAGGGTATGTCTACACTACCCCGCTAGTTCAAACTAGCGGGGTAATGTATGCATACCGCACTTGCTAATGAAGCCCGGGATTTGAATTTCCCGGGTGGCTGTTATGTTCTTACCTTCTAACTTTGTTGTTAAGGGGTATGAAAATCTACACCACAAACTGTAGTTATACCAGCCTAACCCCTCTATAGACAGTGCAGTGTCGACAGGTTAGCTACTTCCGTCAATATAGCTACTCCTATCAGGGAGGTGGATTAACTATGTCAAGAGGAAAGCTATTTACCATTGACATGGAGTGTCTTCATTAATGTGCTACAGCGGAGCAGTTGCACCTTGCAGCATGTTAAGCATAGAAATGTCCTTAAACCTCCTAAGCCATATTTGGCCATCTAAGGGTGGGCTTTGTAAAATCACCCAAGTGATATTGGAAGACAAGTCGAACTGAACTCCATTTGCAAATTCTGAAGAAGAAAAATGGCCGGGTCAAAGTATTCAGCTCCTGTGACTGGGGACAGTTCGCTCTGTGGGATGGTGGTGGCGGCTGCAGATATAGGACAGGGACTGGCCTGCCTGTCTTGTATCTGAATTAGTGTTGCTCTCACACAAAGGCTATTATGCATGTGCTGACTTGTGGTTTCCAGACTCAAAGAAAAAAGCACAAGACAATATTTCTACTAATTTAGGGGTAGGAGTGTAAAGAGCTGGTAACACAGAAATACAAAAATCAGTCACTGAAAAGAGCAATTGCGATTACAAATTATCACAATTTAAAGTAAAAAAATCCCCAGTTTTAGTTGTTAGAAAAATATGTTTTTTTGGTGGCTCCCCTCATTTCTGGGGACTCCAGGAGCAGCTCGTCCCCAGCCCTATAGCTGCTCTGGAAGGCCTGGCCCTGCAAGGAGAGTTACCTGATGTTTATGGAGATGTCAAAAGTCTTGTGGGCCCTGGGGCTGTCACACGCCTGGGGGACCGTGTGCACTTCCAGTGTGAATGGCGCCTCGTCTGGCTTGGGGAGCACATTGTACTTGAGGCTGGTCTGAAAGAGAATGCACAGTTCTGTGTGTGTGTCTGTGCATCCATCTCCTCTCTGCTCTTCTCTGTCTCCTAATTCAGCTCAGTTCCATTCTTTCTTTATCCCCTTTCTCTCTCTCCCTAGTCCCCAACGCTCTGTCCAGTCTCTTTCTTCCTCTCACCTCTTCCTTATTTTCTCCTCCTGTCCCTCACCTCTTCCTCTCTTTTGCTCCCCTCTCCTCCCTTCCTCTCTCCTCCCCAAACCACCCCACCCTGCCCTCTCCATGGAATGAGATTGGCCCCCCTCAGCAGCAGCCTCTCCCCATGACCCAGGGCCCCTCACCTGCATGTAGACACACCCTTCTCCTGTTACCCCCATGCTGTAGTCCCCTGGCACTTCTGGCAGTGCCACACGCTGGAGCAGAAGACGGTTCATGTGATCCACCCGGAACTGGGTCTGGAAGTTCCCTGTGGATTGCAGGGTCACTGTGGAGGCTCCTCCACTCTGGGCGTAGGTTGAGGCTCCGTATTTGGACAAGGCCTGGAGCGCCACCACCGTGTCCTGCCAGAGAAGAGGCAACCAAGAGGATGAGTTAGGGATTCCAGGACCATGGAAAAGGCTATCTCACTGGGCCTCCCACACAGAAGTGCACAGTTGAGAAGTAGAAGGGAGACAGAAAAGTCATCTTTCCCATTACCACCCATTCTCCCCCCTCACCAAGCCATAATCCCTTATTCCCTTGGGCCCAGAACCGCCGTGGTTTTAAGGCCCCTATCTCCCATTGAAAACAGCCAGGGGTGTAAATCATAGAATAAAAAAATCATTAAATGAGGGTTGGAAGAGAGCTCAGGAGGCCATGTAGTCCAACCCCTGCTAAAAGCAGGACCAATCCCAACTAAATCATCCTAGCCAGGACTTTGTCAAGCCGAGACTTAAAAACCTCTAGGGAAGGAGATTCTACCACCTCCCTAGGGAACCCATTCCAGTGTTTCACCACCCTCCTAGGGAAATAGTTTTTCCTGATAGCCAGCTTAGACCTCCCCCTACTGCAACATGAGTCCATTGCTCCTCGTCATCTACCACCACTGAGAATAGCCTAGCTCCATTTGCTTTAGAATCCCCCTCAGGGAGATTGAAGGATGCTCTAAAGTTCCACCCCCCCATTCTTTTTTGCAGAATAAATAAGTCCAGTTCCCTCAGCCTCTCCTTATAAGTCATGTGCACTAGGCCCCTAATCATTCTTCTTGCTGACTATAGGGGAATAATCGCTTCCCTCAATCTGCTGGCAATACTCCTGATTATGCAGTCCAATATGACATTTGCCATCTTGGCTACAAAGGCACACTGGGTATGTCTACACTACCCCGCTAGTTTGAACTAGCGGGGGTAATGTAGTCATCCGCAATTGCAAATGAGGCCCGGGTTTTGAATTCCCCGGGCTTCATTTGCAGGAAGCCGGCCGGCGCCATTTTTAAATGCCGGCTAGTTCGA